CTTATACTTTTATAAAAGAATCATTTTTTTAATTATTATTATTGATAAAAAAAACATTTAAATAGTATGTTTTGACAATAAATGCATTTTCTTTGAATATTTATAATTTCTTATGTTTTTCTTTATCTTTATGTTAAAATTTTCAAATATATGTATATATGTGAAAATTTCATGCAAATGAATAAAATATATATATATATATATAAATTTCTACTTATATTTCTTCAACTTCCATTATTAATTAACTATTTTATATTCATAAAATATTTTTGCATCCTGTAGCATTAATGTATTTCATTTCATTCCATTTTTCAAAGTATTGTATAATAAATAAATTTATTTTCACTAGTCAATGAGATGGTAGCATAATATTCATAACTACTACAAAGTTATTNTTTCAAAATTATATAAAATTTTCAAATACATATATCATCATCATCCCAAAAATTTTTATCACCACTAATTTATATTCCAACAGATAATTAAAGCTTCTATCTTAAAGATAGATCATTTAAGATTAGATTTAAGATGATCTATTTTAAATGAACTGTGTGTTCATCACACAGAACACACATTTAGTATATGAAAATGTGACCTATGAATCTTATGTCTTAATTCAATTTGAATTCAGGCATATGATCTAAAAGCAGTTGACAAAAAAACATTAGGAGAAGGTATAACAAATTTAGAGATTGGCACTAGGAAAACATGCTATATATTGTGTTTGGCAAATGTTCGTACAGAATTATTGTTTCTCCTACACTACTGCACATATTAAAATGCTACAAATAATTTTCCACAGAATTTTCAGTTTCTATCAGGTAGACTATTTCCTACATCCAAAATCATAAAAACTGCTGACAGTTCAGAAAATTACAGCATGTGATAAATAGTATAGATCGTTCGCCGTAACTTTGTGCACAAAACAAAGAACTTGAGTGGCCGCATGCCATAAGCTATAAAACACATCCTCCATGTCACCCGTCCCGTTTGTAAAAGTGATGACGGTTCTCAAATAAACAAACGTCCATTCATTATTATAAATTTAGTCCTGAAGACAATTATTAGGAAAATGCGCTACTTTTACAAACTATTTCTTGCAGAAGCATGCGTGAAGTTATGGCAAGTGGACTATAATTTGCAGCATACTTATGCATTAATTTTGGAACATGATTATTTCTTGAGGTTCGTTGTTTCAATGATGAGATAAAATTTCAAATCTCTGGATGCATCAATTTAAACAGTGAACCTCCACGAAAACATCTAAACATTATTAATGTTGCATTTTCTAGGAGGCTTACAATCTCAATTGGCACAATGCTTTAAATTTAATGTGCATACTAACTAAAGTTTAGCCTATGTTTCATCATCATATACAATTTCTCCTTTCATTAGAAGGAATGAGAGATTTGCTCATATTGTCTGTGAATTTTCTAAGAGTCATTAGTATATAGAAGAATAGAACCAATTGCATGCTCCCTTATGTTTTTTGCTTTTTTTCCAATGGTTACGTGAAGAATCGAGTACACAGAAGAGTAAAAATATTAAGCTATATTCAAAGAAATTGTTAAATTGCTGAATATTTTTAATGAATTAAATACTTTAAACTCCACTATGGCTATTTTCATTTTTAAGTGATATCAATTTGAATATGGAACATTATTTTTGTGATCACAATGAATCAGAAATGATATTTGTTTTGTTGATTGGCTGAAGGGAAAAATTAAAAATAAAAATTTTTACTTATAATCATAATAAATCACCAGTAAGAACAGATTATTTTTAAGTTGTTCTCTTTTTAGAATGTTATTGTCAAATAAGTTGCACTTAATAGTCTAAATCAACCTCAGTAGAACAATTCAAAATAAATCTATAAAATCTTCTTTTTGGCTGCTGGGATTTATTATTTATATTTTTAGTTATTTTTGCTTTATATTCAAATATTCAAACGTTGTTATTCTTTTATTGTATTCTATTTTGGAACGGTATTTAATGGTAAAATACGTTCCAAGAAAGATTGTAGCCCGAGGATGACCTATTAGACTAGGTCGAAAACATTTGCTAAATAAAAGCGAATCCCAGCAGCCTAAAAGGTGTTTATAGATTTATTTTAAGTTGCACTTATTTCCATAATTATGGTACACAATGACGTCAAATTGTACAACCACACACAAAATATTAATACTTTGCTTTACTACTTATTGAAACAATTTCATGGAAGCAAATAAAGTTTTCAAAAGTGAATCTTCTGCACGCCATCCCAGATAGTAATAATTGGCCCAAGTTTTAATAGTTGATTATCAAATATATTTAACTTTGCTGTTGCTTTTCTCTAAATTATCAAAATTTATTTAACTACTAAACCAATATCAATAAAGTATTACACAAAATCATGTGTATTATTATACTGATATTAATTTATTATTATTCTTGCAAAATATCATTTGTAGAAATGAAGCATTTACAACTTTATTTCTGTAATTGATATTCCATAAATATTCTAATTGCTCAATCAAAAAATTAAGAAATGAAAACAAAGTTTTTTATATAATGATTTTATAGAAAAAGTGCATAAGAACTATTGATTTTACTAGAATAAAAAAAACCAACTTTGCATTTTTTATTACATTGGCACATGTTTTGGTTAACAAAAGCTTAGAAAAATCAATGTTTTACATATTCACTTCAACTTTATAGGAGAAAACAAAATTTATACGTGTACATACACATTTCTATTTGATGTGCCGGTACTTCTCTACAGGAAATAAATTTCATCAAAATTTAAGCAGTTTTAATTTTAAAAAACATTTAACTTCTTTTAACTATTAAGTGTATAATAAGTATATTTATATACACACATACACATACACACATTTACTTTTTAAATATATTAAATCTATTTATATAACTATATATANCTATTCTTTTTCTATCATTAGTCTAATTAATTCTATTCAGAAATTTAATTTAATTTATAAATTATTAAATACTAAATAATTTGGTCTAGAACAGGGGTCACCAAACTTTTTTCACAGTGGGCCATATAACTGAGAAAATGATGAGCGTAGACCACATAACCATTTTGTTCAATACAGTATACCGAATACACAAAAAATAAAGTCAACCAACGTATTTATTTACCAATACTATTAAATTATTGAAGAAGGACGAATATTTATACATATATATATTAAGAATATTATGAATGACATAATTGTGAATCACCTCTAAAACATTTATATTATGGAATTGATCAAGAAAGATGACAAACAATTTTTAAACATTTCATAATATTCCAATCCTTTTTTTTACATTTGTTAATTTAGAATGTCATAAACACATTAACAGTTCCAACTTTGAATAAGTGCCAATAATAATTTCTCTCTAAATTTTGTTATTCAAATTAGAATTTGAATCAAAACATTATATATAGTTTGGAATAAGTTATTTTTTAATTGATTTTCTTTACGGTTTTAATAAATTAACCAAATATAACAAACTCAGAATTTAACAATGCGACAATTTTTTATCACTACAAAAGATCGATCATTGCACAAAGCCATTTATGGATCTTAATTAATATCAATTGTAGTTTTGTAGAAAACTGATCGTTACAAAAAGTTTTAACGTCTTTTGCAAAATCTTTCGATACTCGATTTAATAAAAAATTTGTTCGTACAAATTAAACTATTTACACTGTACATTAAAAATATACCCACAAAGCGGAAATATTTACAAACGTCGCACACTGTACGGCAAAAACACAGCCACGTTTCTACATTTAGTCACATCTTTAGAAAAGAAATAAATTAAATTATCGCAAAAAATTTGCTTAGAACTTGATTATAAATCGAACAGGAACTATCTCAATGTTTATATTTAATCAAATATTCTCCATATTCATTATTATTAATTATTATTATTATTATTATTACAATGTTGTGAAATTTAACACATTATTGCTAATTTGAGATTATATTCTTTGTTCAGAAGCTTATTTTATGCTTCAAGTGCATTTTTCATTCCATGTGCAGTTCAAACTTTGAAGCATTCTTTGAACTTCAAAGCAAATTTTTGTCAAATTTGGTATTCAAATTCTGAAGAATTCAAAGTATGAAGTACCATTGTATTTTGCTTATTTATTCTGACTTAACAATAGAAGACCAAAGATTACTTTGGTTAACATTTAGTTGACTGAGGATTAATATATGGTTTGAATGCTGTTTCAAGTTTTATGTTAACTTTTTGTATTCCTAGCCTTTTTCTTGCCAACTTTCTAAAATCTAGATCATTAGATTATTTACTTGTATCCGGGGCTGTCAAGACAGGAGCTGGGAAATTTTTCTCAAGACTGGAGAAAATTTTGCGTCCCATAATGATTCCAAACCCTATAAAATTAAATTTTCACTAACAAGAAATAAAATTTTTAAGACTGCTTTTTAAGAAACATTCTACATATTTTTGTTCAAAAACAAAACGCTAAAAGAAACTCACTCTAACCCTAGGATCCATACAAGTTCTTGGTCTGCTCAGACCGCACTAAAAAAATGCTTATACTTTTATAAAAGAATCATTTTTTTAATTATTATTATTGATAAAAAAAACATTTAAATAGTATGTTTTGACAATAAATGCATTTTCTTTGAATATTTATAATTTCTTATGTTTTTCTTTATCTTTATGTTAAAATTTTCAAATATATGTATATATGTGAAAATTTCATGCAAATGAATAAAATATATATATATATATATAAATTTCTACTTATATTTCTTCAACTTCCATTATTAATTAACTATTTTATATTCATAAAATATTTTTGCATCCTGTAGCATTAATGTATTTCATTTCATTCCATTTTTCAAAGTATTGTATAATAAATAAATTTATTTTCACTAGTCAATGAGATGGTAGCATAATATTCATAACTACTACAAAGTTATTCTTTAAATTATATCATAGTATTTGGAAAAAAAAATAATTGCTAAATCCTTGCTTTACAACAGGTAGTCAATTGATTTTATTAAAGATTTTCTTTAAAAAAAAATCAATGTGAAAAAGTTTTATAGTTTAATATGACTTACTTTGCAGTTGGAGTTGGTATTCTACTACCTTGTGATGAACTATTATTACTATTTGTTGATTGAATGGAACGATTTGATGATTCTAAATTATAAAAAATTTTTATTTAATCATTTTTATAATTTATCAATTTTAATTTGTTTTTAGTGTAATATTTAAATTTACTACTTATTATTTAAAAAAAATATATTTTTTTTACATCGTAGTTGAATT